GGCAGTGAATATAGACTTCTACCTGAACGAGGCTTGGCTGCGTGATATGAAGGGAGGGAAATAAGGAGCAGGTGCAGATTTGAGGGGAAACATTTGAATAATATATCAGGAACTATGACATGTTTATAGCCTTAAAAGGGGGAGTCAGTGAAGAGAGAGAAAGTAAAATCCTGGAGAAAGGGAGAGCTAAATGGTAGGACTAGCTTTCAGAAATGCTAAGAGGAAATGAGGCTGAGAAAGTGGCTTTGCTCCTGCCGCAGCCCAGGGTTCGCTGGTTCGGATCCTGGGTGCGCACCGACACACCGCTTGTCAAGCCGTGTTGTGGCGGCGTCCCATATAAAGTAGAGGAAGATGGGCATGGATGTTAGCCCAGGGCCAGTCTTCCTTAGCAAAAAAAAAAAAAAAGGAGGATTGGCAGATGTTAGCTCAGGGCCGAGCTTCCTCACAAAAAAACAAAAAAGAAAGTGGCTTTGCTCAAGAGAAGTAGTACTTTCTCATTCTTTCATTCTCCTAACAAAAAATCCTTTGGAGTCTACACTATTCTAGTTATGGGTAGAGAGCAATGTATAAAACCAGACTAAGTCCCTGCCCACAAGGAACATTCTAATGAAGATAAACAGGAAAAAAAAAAATACAGAAGTAAAACATCTAGTATGCCAGGATTTGATTCATAAGGTGGTGAATAAGAAGAGTAAGAAGGCTATTGTATGTGTGTTGGGATGGAGGTGGGGGATGGGAGTGAGGGGGAGTGTGTACTGCTTTCCATAAGGTGGCCAAGAAAGGCTATGTACACACATGGTGACTCTGGTAAGATGAAATCTGCTCAGCACGCTAAAGAGAGTGACATTGTGAAAGCCTATGAGAGAAATGTTAGGGAAGAATATTCCAGGGACAGAAAACAAGTGCAAAAGCTCTAAAGTAGGAAATGGCTGGCATTTTGAGGAGCAGCAAGGAGGACAGCGGTCAGAGAGGTAACAGGAACCCAGATCATGCACAGCTTTGCAGGCCACTGCAAGTACCTTGGCTTTTGGTTTAAAGGAGTTAGGAAGCTATCGCAGAGTTTTGAGCAAAGCAATGATGTATATGACTTGAGTTTATAAAAGATAACTAAGTTGTACCATATTAACTTAAAATTTTTCTGATAACTGAAATAAATATCAATTTTTAAAATTAATTTTGAATGAATTAGAATTAAAAATTTTCATTTTTCACTAGCATTAGTCACACTTCAAGTGCTCAACAGCCACATGTGGCTAGTGGGAACTATATTGCATGGCTCAGCTCTAGTCTATAAACTTGAATTCACAAATCATTCCTACTTTAATTTGTAAATTCAGCACCTCAGAGATTAAAATAAATTTGTCAAATGGACAAATAAAATAGTTATTGTCAAATAATTACTAAGAAATCTTAACTAATTATCTACTCGCAAATTTTACTCACATAAATGGAGACAACACTTAGATTGTCAGTAAAAAAAAGGTCAACATAGATTTTAGTAGAGCAATGGAGGAAAAAACAGAGAGACTGGGAAGAGCACATCTTGTTTTGTGCGTTTTGGGAGGATTAATCAGCCTGCCTTAGAAAACAATTACAGTTGTTATAGTTTCCCCAAAAGGCTCTGCAAGCTTACGGTGCAGTTGTAGGACAGGTTCTCTCTGTAATATGTGCCAATATCCTTCCATCAGCACCTTCAGCTCAGTTAGGCCAGCTGTACACCAATTCCCTCAATGGAATTTCCCATTCTCACTGATTATATGCCTTAGCTTCATTCAATTACCCATTCACTCATATGCTAAGTGGCTACTAAATGCAGGGCAGTCTACCAGGCTCCTGTTTGGAGACAAAGATAAGATGGCTCTATGTCTGGTCTGAAAAGGATCAAATAATTATACAGTAACACAAGAAAAAATATCTTGTCAAAAGAGAGCTATGAATCAACCGCTATGGAAGATAAATTTTTAAGAAAGTGCCTTTGCTACCGAACCAAAGTGGGTTCGCCTCCTGGAGAGTGAAAATCAGACTAGCCACCAGAAGTAGTTGTCACACAAAGCAGGGTATATTTGCAGCAAATAGGAGACCATGTGGAATCATTTCCAAAGTTGTGGCTGTCGCTGGATACTGGAAAGCAGGGGCCTTTTATTTCGGCTGGGGAATGAATATTCAAAAGGGAGAGGTGAGTATTCGATTGTGCAGGCTGAGTTTGAAAACATGTGCCACATACACTGCAGTTTATGGTAACAAGGCCTAAGCTCCTCCTAGAGAGGAGATCTTAGCATTAAAAACGAGGCAAAGGTCATAGGCTTTGCTCTTGTGGGCTTAGTTGCATTCAGGGTGGTTGGTGATTGCGTCTCTTAAACAGTTAAATGCTTCCCAACCCGCCCTGAAGTTCCTAGGAGCAATTGGTCAGCGACACCTTTTCCATATATCCTAGAGATATGTATGCATATCTACACCAAGAAACATGTGCAAGAAAGTTCACAACAATATTGATCTCAATAATCTCAGAGACACAACACAGACGTCTATTACAATAAATTAGGTAAACCAATGTCACTATTGAGCAGTAAAAATGATGGTACTGGAGTAACATGTATCAACACGAATAAATTTTAAAAACATCAGTTTGAATGAAAAAAATAATAATATACAGATTGTGATTCTATTTGTGTGAAGACAAAAATAGGTAAAATTAAACAATGTTCAATTTATGGATCTATACCTAAATATGGAAACTATAAAGAAAAGTAAAAGATTAACACAAAGCGTAGGATAGTGGTTTATCTCTGAAAGTGTGCGTGGGTGGGTGGAGAGATGGAATTGGGGAGAGTTATACTGGGCCTAGTAAGTTACTAATGACATACTAGTTCTTAAATTGGATTTTGAGTACCAAGTATGTGTCTTATAATTCTTGTTTGTGTTGCAAAACCCTTTTGTATGGATGAAGTATTTTATTATAAAAATTTTAAATACCTCTTTAATTAGAGATAAGGAATCTCAGGTCTGCTGTGTAGTTTTGCCATTTAAAAAATTTCCTTTGTCTTTTTTCTCTTTATCTGCCATATCACCATTTTTGTTCATATCGATATAAAAGTGCAGAAATTTTAAAGTTTTTATCAGGAATCTTAAACTTATGAATAGCAATATGAATTCATTAAAATCAATTACGGGTCTCAATCCTCCTATTTTGCCAGTTGAACATCTGATATGTCTAGTTCTTGTTAATCTGCCTTTTTCTTCCTGGGTCTTCTTGTCATTGAAGATTGTATCCCTAGATTCCTGCTCTTTGGTTTCCTTTCTGCACATACATTTTGTGTCTCTCCAAGATACTAGCTCATCCTTTTTAGGTAAATTTCTTTCTCTTTTTATCCCACTCTTCCCCTCTGCCTTTTCTTCTATTGTGTCTATTTTTTTTCCTCTCCCTCTGCCACTTTTCCCTTAATCCGGTTTTAATTTTTTTTTTTCTCATTTTCCTTTCTCCATGGACTGGGTATATTCTAGAACCAAAGCTTTTTTGTTTTTAACAATCTCTATTAGTCATTAAAGAAATGCTCTATTTCCCATGATTTTAAAATTAGAAGAAACAACAACAGACTTTTTATTTTTTCTAAAACAGCAGCCCACCAGGGCAACTGCGGTCTTCTGAAGGGTCCAGACTCAAGCCAGATTCGGCCTAAATTATCACCCTGGCTCCACAATTGACATGTGATGGGATTTGGAGCAAGACGCCTTGCCTCGGTTTTCTCATTTTCTTTTCTGTAAAATGGAAAAAAGAAAAAAGAAATAATCAGGTAGTGTTTTTATGGTTAAATAAACAAATACATATAAAGCACATTAGCTATTATTCTGCACATTGCTACATTGGCTAAACTGGGAATAAGGAAGAAATAAAGAAGTCGAAAAGGTCTTCAGATTTCCTCCTCAATACTGCAGAGGTAAACAAATGAACTATTTTGTGAAACAAAGATAAGACATAATAAATTCAGGAGTGCACTCTTGTTGGTTGCCCACCTGCCATGTGCAACTTGCTGCAGGGGATTTACTGCTCTGGGACGACTAGGGGGAGGGAGGGGGTAAGGGAGGGTGGAGGATGGGGAGGTGGCAGGGGAGTGTTAGAAAAAAAGACAAATTCAGGGAGGACACTTCTCTCTGCAGAAAGGAAAGATGAGAATGGAAGAACTGGCTAAGAAGCCGGTGTCAGTCAAAGATGATGATGATGATAACAATAATAATAAATAAAAAATAAAGCTGTTAAACACCGGGTTCCTCCATTCTATTATGATTATTTTTTAATCTTTTCACTAGTTAGACTGAGGAACTATTTCTGATCCTCCTCTGTGGCTAAACTGGGTGTGATTTGATCCTTTCCAATACAAGGGATCGTAGCCATATTGGCTAAGAAAATTCTTTCCTTTCTTATCTCCCTTCAAGCGATGTTATTTTTGCTTTCTCCAGAGGTTTTATTCCCTGCCCTTTATTTTCACGCTATATTTCTGCATTCTATTTACAGTGGGAAACACTGCTCTCGGAATTGTCTGGACAACCGCAGATCGCCTATTTCTTCTTAGTTCTTCCTTTCTCTCTCACTGGGGGAGAATCTAGCTTCAAATGTAAAGATACAGCTCTTACAGTTGTTGTAAACTGGCCTTGAAAATCGGAGACGTAATGGTGTCACGAGCTTTGCCTCCTTGGTATTTGAATGTACAGGAGAGAGCGACTCCTAGTTTTTAAAATTAATCAACAAAGTAATCTGAATTGTTATACATTAATCAGAATTTACTATAAAATAGGTACTGGATTAAAGAAGCTGGTTTGATCGCTGGAACTCTGCTCTCAGAATATAACCAATGGGAAAGTAGGTCATGACCTCACGAAAAATGAACGAATCAGCGGTTGCAAAACCAAGTCCTCATTTGCATAACATTGTCTACAAATAAGCAGGATCCGGAGCTCTTCGACTCCATTTTTTTTTTTTCCTGTCCCAGAAAATCGGAGTTAATATGCCTGAGCCGGCGAAGTCTGCTCCAGCTCCGAAGAAGGGCTCTAAGAAGGCGGTGACCAAGGCGCAGAAGAAGGACGGCAAGAAGCGCAAGCGCAGCCGCAAGGAGAGCTACTCCGTGTACGTGTACAAGGTGCTGAAGCAGGTCCACCCCGACACCGGCATCTCATC